TAGTATTGGTGCCCAGGAAACCCCGAGGTGGAAAGGAGGCTCTCCAGGGAAACGCCCTGGTATTTTGAAGGAGTGCAAGGCGCCGGTGGAATTCCACGTGTTCGCCAGAGTGAAGTCCCATCGTGAGTACGAGTTACCCCCCTCATTTTCCCTCTTGTCCCCACAATATTACCCTTCATACCCCCCAACGGTGAGCCTACATTCTTTTGTTTCTTCCCCATTTAGTTATTGTTCTTATATTTAGTTGCATTCCCTCGACACGACTAGCTTCTCCCCTTTTTCTGCATTAGAGTCACTCCCCTTTTTACGTGTACAAAAGTTGCCTGGCCTTACCCATAACCCTAGATCCAAGTAAAAGGCATTTCAAACGTCTTACGACGATCTAATCTGTAAATTACTAGAAATATAGATATTTAGTTAATTTTATCCCTCATTTGTCCTCATTATTTAATTGCCCTAAATCCCCCTTTTAGGAAATAATATTAATTAAATATTGAACGGTCACAGAAGATTAATAAATTCGATTTCTTCATTTCCACAACAAAAAGATGAGCGCGCGCGAAAGCGCGCGCACAGATCTAGTAGATATAAATTTTTTTAGAATTGGCACAAAAGAAAAGAATTGTTAACATGACATCTTTGGCTTCCGGATGGATGCCGCGTTTGGATTCAGCGTTGCGCCGACGTTTCGCAAACATTGCAGTCTGCATCTTCAGGGCTATGAGCTCCGATTCTGAGCTCCGATGTCTAGGGGAAGTCCTTATATGCCTTCCCTTGTGGTGGCGGGGGAAGGGGAAGGGGGGGGGGTCAGTCAATCATATGTTTTTAATTGATCAGCTGGTCAATTAAAAAACCGGGAGGACGGTTTTCCAAATGGGGTTCACTTGATATCCTCTGTCCCTGTTGAGGTTGTTAGGGTTTTTATGGATCTCCAAACCCTCTCGGTATTTCCTTTCGAAATACCCTTGAGATTTGGCCAACATTCTGGCTTGGTCGTACTGGATAGTGTGTTCAGTGTCCATCCAGTGTTCAGCCAGGGCAGACTCTTCTAAGTGACCGTATTTGGAGCACCGCTGGTGAATTGACGTTGGAGGCTATCATACCCTAGGTGGTATGATAGCTGCGTTAAATTATAGAAAAAAAAAAGAACACAGTTTGTGGGAAAAGCCTTTCGGCATAAAAAACCCAGATTTATTATCAATACACTAAGTTTGGAGGGTTCACTGCGAATGTCGGTGACACACACGACGATTCACTCACACACATACATACAACACAATGTATTTGTTCGTTATTTCAGTTGTTTGTGACAACGGTTAGCACGTGTTCACACATATAAACATTAACCTACACTAAAACCTTAATAACGCAAGCTAATTTGGGGGTTGATTGGCGCAAAGGTTAGTTGCGTCCTTGGAAGCGTGGCTTGTGTGCCACGTGGAGGCACGAAATCGTGTGATTTCGTGCCGTTGGTTAATCGTTCGTTCGATCGTTAATTCGTAGCCACTTACTATCAAATTTCGTTTCAAATTTTACGAGAAGGTGCTGCCACCATTTACCGCCTATTCATAACCGTCAGCGCGGGCACATACCAGCGACAACGGCGCCCGTAACGTGCCGCCGCCGCTTGTCGCCAGCATGTGAACGCGGCTTCAGACCTTCGCAGGTGTTACGATGTAACAGCTGGTGTTCCTTGATCCGTGTACTGATCTTCCTCCCGGTTTCTCCAATGTACACTTTCCCGCATGAGCAGGGGATCTCGTACACTCCTGGTGTGCTCCGAGGTGGTCTTGGATTGTTAACATCTTGTACAAATTTGGATTCAAAAATATAAAATTTTGGTCATCGACATATTTCTCGGAATTTTTGTTTAAACCATAAAAAAAGAAACATATTTATTTCATTTTTTTCCTCTATTTTTACGCATTTTAAAAATATCCTAAAGAAATCGGATTGAGAAAAAAGAAGAGATTCAGGAAAGGAACAAGGTAAAGATATATGTAAGTGTTATCCTAAAAATAAAAATTAAAAGAAACAGGAAGTTTTCCTAAAAAGAATTTTCCTGTTGATAATTTTAACGTCGAGTCCCGGAATTAGGAAAAAGGTTGTCCTCCGACGCTAGACGTCTCCGGACATTACAGGAACATGAAGGAACTGGAGGGCCTGGAGGTACAATTGGAGACCGTGAAGGAAGACCTGACAGACCAAAAACGGGAATTTAGCGCAAGCTCAGAGATTCGCAGTTATGGCGACTTTCTTCATCCGTCTCTGAGTTTCACTGCTATAGTTGTGGTAACCTTCATTACTGCGGGATTTTTGATATGCTGGTGGTACAAGAAGAGTAGGAGACCGTAGCTGACGCCTAGGAGAAAATGAGCGTTAGAAGCAATCGTATAGACGCCTATACAACCGATGATATGACCCAAAAACACAAAAATGTTCATAACTCGTAAAATATTCATGTAATCGAAAAATAAAAACTACGATTTTTTCAATGAATACTCGAGAGACTATTGTTTCTGGGCAGTAACTCAACAAGATTATCACTGTTCACCTGATACCGTCAGTATTAGAGTGAACATATCTGATTCTGACTTCGTATAGTTTAAGTAAGAAATAAACGCGTATTATTGAGTACTATTCGCGGGTGAATTAATTCCAAAATTAACGAAACCAACCGCTTGGGATTCTAATAGTAAATTCATCCAAATTTTCCCTAGATGCAGCACAAGAACAATAAAGGCACGTAGGGATAAACTGAGCTGTGCTGCTTTATTGGCAATTGACTTGTGTTGCACCAAGAATTTTTACTGATAATCATTGTCATCTTCAGCAGAAAATGGTAAAAATCATTTGAAGGCAAATTATGAATTGTCATTTGAATTGCAATGCACCTTAAGTCAGTTACAAATAAATTTGCAGAGCTTATTCTATCCTTACGTGTGTCCATTATTTTTGTCCTTCATTAACTCTCCGTTGGTCGCACTATGACCGCCGCGCTGCACTTTTTCAGTTTTTTTAAATCACACTGCAGTAAAGCCTTCGAAAAATTTGAAAAAAATTTACATTTCATTTTGAAATGTTTAGAAGCCCTATCAATGAAAATATCCGCCAAAAATATCATAAGTAGGTGGATTTTCAAATTTTCATTCCGAAACTCCGGGACGTGTATCGTGTATAAGGCGAATCTTCAGAACAACATGGCAACTTTGAGTTTGAATATATAATTAAGTGTAACACTGAACGAGAAAAACCTCACGGGACTTTTTTAAGTGTACGATCTAGATCACTTTTAACTTTTTCCTAGATCTTCCAAATTTATCACTATATCGCTATATGCTGGCGCGGCGGTTACGGCGCGACCATGTTACTCAATCTAATTACAAATAATTTGTACAGATTAATATTGTTGTGATCGGGCATTTGATTAGAAATACTCATACTTGCTCTAATGAATTCTACTCCTGAATTTTTTTTATAACGGAATTTGTTTTGATTTCAGGTTACGAATATGAGCTCTGGTGATCCTTGGGCTTTTCCGGTAAAGCAGGGTCTTTATGACCCGAGTTTGGAAAAAGATGCTTGTGGTGTTGGTTTTATTGTCGCTATCGATGGAAAAAGATCGCATAAGGTACGCAAAACTAAATTTCACCTTTAATTTGAAATAAAAATCTTTGTCATATTCAAAAGAAGCAAATTCATGCGCCCATCGAGGTCATTCAATAGTAGAAGGATCAATCAATTAAAGGCATACCAAGGTGAAACTAGGAAATCTTTGTTTGATGGGAATGAAAATGAAATCTCTTCGATAAGGGGTGTTTTTAGTGAAAAATAACGGAACTCATGTCATGTTAAAAAATTTTTGAGCTACGAAAATGATCTGAGTGATTTTTTCCCGAAAACACTTGGGCTTGAGATATCTGCAAAATAATTTGAATGAAATTCTTCCGCTTGTCTTCTTTACCAATGTCATACAAAATGGAAAGAAATGCTGAGTCATAATTAGAACAATCTCCGAAGCTCGTCATAACTCAATTGTTAGTCCAATAAAGAATGGAGATATGTTAATTATTAAGAGGTAATACTCGGACGAATAAACACATGAAGGATAAAAAAAATCTAAAGATGTAGGAATTGAGGTTATTGAGGGAAGGTTCAATTCCCTAATAATGCAATTACGTTATGTTGAAGTTGGTAGGTCAGGCGTTCGAAATAACGAGGCAGTTGATATTATCAAGAAACATTTTAATGTTACTCGTCAAGGCACACAGGTCGAAGTGACGCCGGCAGACGCAGTGTCGACTCACATCACAGTCCACGCAAGCGCAGTATAGTTACATAAGAATACGTATTAAGTAGTTAATAGAGATAGGATCAGTTGACGGGGAGCTGGCGCCCTCTTCCAACACTCCCTCCCGACAGCTTCACGTCCTCCTTCATCTAGTTTTTCTTCTTTCCTGAACACACAATAAGACTGTCATTAGATATTTACATTCAATATTTTATCAACTTGACGTTTATGTAATTCCAACGTCAGAGGTTTTGTAAACACGTCAACTAATTGATCTCTTGAGCATATCCGTTTTACTTTGATCAAGTTTAGCTTTACACATTCTTTAATATGGTGAGCTTTAACATCAATAATGTATCTTAATCTATTTCCCCTACTCGTCTCTGCACAACTCGTCGCTGCTCTGTTATCGCACCATAATATCATTGGCAGCTTGGGTGGAAAAATTAATTTTAAAGAGTTATATATAGATAACATCTCTTGACTGGTCTCGCTCATTGCAACATATTCAGCCTGACAAGTTGACAATGCAACGTAAGATTGCTTGTGAGTTCTCCAAATAATAGAGTCCCCAAACAATTCAATCACAAATCCACACGTAGTCAATGAGTTCTTGCAATCAGCAAAACAAGAATCAGAATATGCTTCAATTTCGTTAGTCTCACCAGCATACCTCAGACCCAGATTAGAAGTACCCCTTAGATACCTAAGTACCCTTGTTACCATCTTCCAATCTTCATCAGTTGGATTCACCTGGTGTCTACTCAAGATATTGACAGCGTAATAAATATCTGGTCTGTTGGAGTGTAGCCAACCAAAACACCTCGTATACCTACTGCCCTGAATGTAGGTCCGACCTTTCTTTGTACCTTCATGTACGCAAGACTGCCGAATCTTTTAACCTGTCCAACATCAAAGCTATGTCCCGGTGCAAATTCTTCTAATGGAGTTTTCATTTCATTGGATTTGTGGGGAGTATGATTGTAGGAGTAAGCCGCGGCAGACAGAGCCAGGTCCCACATGCTTTCGGGTAATTTAGCGTCAAACATGTAGACTCAAACCTTCTTCTGGATTGTCTGGTTGTACCGTTCCGCGACCCCGTTATGCTCAGGTGTATCGGGATATGGCAGTTGCAATTCTGCCCCTAGTCTTTTCAACACTTCAACTGTATATCCCCCTGTAAATTCGGTAGCCTGATCTGACCTGAGATAACACACTTTAGCATCGTAACCCAACAGATTCCTACCGCTCCTAACAAACATTTCAAGGCAGTGACCTGTTTCACTTTTTGTTCTCATCGGGTATGCCATCGCGAATCTCGATTTATCGTCAATGAATACAGATATATACCTGTATCCCTTCGGATGTGAACTCGGGGATATGGGTCCCATTACGTCAGAATGAATAATCTGAAGAGGTTCTGACGCTCGAGTTCTTACATTAGGAAATGGTAATCTATTAAATTTGGAAACCAAACATACTTCGCACTCCATTATAGACTCATCAAACACCACGTTTCTAAGTTCTTTATTTTCTGGAAATTTTAATTGGACAGCTTTGAGATACGCTAGAGATGCATGGCCTAGTCTCACGTGCCACAACATGGGTTTGTTATTTGTTTGAAACAAATCTTTTCCAACTTCAAACGGATCCAGATTTTCAGTACTCACATTAGATTGAGCTTCATCTGCATTGTTTATTTTTCTGTCCCAGATAGACTAATCGAAATTGGAGTGAATGAGTTGGTCCTGAATCGGTTTAGAAGTTTCAGTCTTTTGAAGCTCTTCAGATTGCACAATATTATTTAACTTAACTGGCTCGTCTGCAATCTGTGTGTTATTTTCGCTCAACGGTTCTACGTTAGAAGATTCTTTCGATTTACTAGTGGTACTTCGCGTCACATAATTACGAGTCCCTGTTTCATTACTCACCATATTGGCTATCACCCGTCTAATCGTATTTTTACACATTTGCATTTAATTGATTGTATTTATTTATTTCTAACTCAACAATCCAAAATGGTTTCCGGTAAACCCCTGAGATAAAAGACCCGTTCGACTCCGAATTAAAGATGTCTATTTTTTTGTCATCTAAGTATATAGCAAGACCCATTTCAGCGAATCTTTTCAGCGACAGCAAGTTGGCCTGAAGAGACTCAGCGAATATAACCTCATCTATTTCGAAAGTGTTGCCATCTACCAATTCAACCTCTACTTGACCGACTCCGTTTTCAAATTCGCCGCTTCATTTTTGTTTGCACATTTGATAACAGTTGTTTCGCTCGTCGAGGGATTTAAATATTATCTTTGAATTGGATAGATGCTCCGTAGCACCAGAATCAGTCAGGAATTTAACGATAAATTTATTTTCGAAATAATCCATTGAATCTACCAACATTGCCTGAGTTTCAATCAAATCGTCATTCGCTTCCATGTAATTTTCTGAATTGTATATATTCAGCTTACCTTTATCTTTGTTGTCTCCAGCTGCAGTCTTGCTAGTATCTTCCTTGTTAAATTTGGTATAAGTTTTGGATTTTGAGTACCTGCTATCGTATCCATTCCTCTGACCCTGGAACCTAGTCCCCTTGACATTTCTCGAATCATAAGATCCTGAATTTTCATGTCTCCTTTTCAACGACCCAACTGTACGCCCAGATCCCCGAAAACCTTTCCCATCCCAACGACTACCTTTATTGTTTGAATTAGATTTATTAGGCTCACCTGAGTTTGGACACTCCTTCTTAATGTGCCCATACTCCTTGCACTTGTAGCAAAGTTTTCCTTTGCCCTTACGCGGGCAGAACCGATCGAGATGCCCAAAAGCTCCACATTCAAAACACCTGTCGTCTTTACTCACCAGGTTTGCTGCTCTAACCTCTCCAGCCTCGTCATTGGTTTGCTTCCTGGCTGCCTCGCCTTGCATGACAAGTTTCAATTGTTCGTAATTAGGGGGTTGTTCACCCTTGATCTCGGCAGCGGATTGGAGGAATCGCACCATGGATACAGAACCCATAATAGCATTGCTAAATGCATCTCTTTTCTCCTCGTCGGATAGAGGAACAGCATCTGTAGCATTTTCATACTTACGAATTGCATCTTCAAACTTTTCACAGAACTCACTCGCTGCTGTCATCTTACCAATAATATATTTCATATTCGATATTTCTTTTCTGACAGTGGAAAATGAGACATTTGTCTCATATCTTTCGATTTCTTCGAGGTTAATCAAGATCTCCACTGGATCATCAAGTTGAGACTACCTTGGAACGATAATTCTTGTCAATATGATTGATCAAAATGTCTCTAACTTTGAATTTATGCTCATTCAAGGTACTTTGATCACCAGCGAAATCAACCCTTGGATCGATGACATGCATTAGTCTATGGGATCTGACCTCTGACTTGGAGTAGTCATAAAAATGCTCAAATCTTGTGCTATTATCTAATTTATAGTCTTTTTTGACTGAAGGTCCTTTGTTCATGATATCTAATCTGATAGCATCGGCATCTAATTTAGCATCGCTAGTGTCAGTGCCTCTGTTTTGACTATTGATTTGACTTTTTAAAGTATTCATGTGTTTCTCTACAATATTTTCCACCACGGCTGCTAATTCCTCATTATTATCGACGTCGTGATTGTCATTAGCCTGGTTAGGAGTTTCTCTCATCTCGTCACTGGTATCACCAGACTCTATCCAGTCCACGACTTTCTCCAATCCCTGTTCGAGTTTCTGGAACCTCTCATCACGTTCCGCCTTCTCTTCCCTTAGCTCACGCAGCGAGGCCTTCTGACTCCAAGAAACCCCTGCTGGTGTTTATTTGGATATTCGTGACTCTTATGAGAATGTCATACATGCACTCTGTTTTCTCGCAGATATTCGCTAGTCGTTGATCGACTGGAATTTTTCGTTTTGGCACAATAGGAATAGATTTTGTTGGATCATTTACAGGAGTGGGTGTTGGGCGTATTATTTGAACTTCAGCTTCGATATATTTAATATTAGTTATTTTGGGTTTATTGTTACCTAACTTGAGAGCTGCAGCAACTACCGACTCGTCAGTTTTCCCAGCTGGGACTTCCACACCCTCATCACCAACCTTTAGCTCACCCTCGTCAGCAACATTTTGTCTGCCCTCGTTGCCGTTGGTTTTTTGACCCCCGCTTTCCTGACCCTCACCCATTTTACTTACCTCGGTAGTAGGCTGATGTGGTTGTTCCTCGTACACCTTGGGCATGATTGAAATTTCGTTGGCCAAAATTTTCTTTTCGCACCATTCCACCAACGATTTCCACTGATTATCAGTCATCATGTCTTTGCCTGTTAGGAAAAGGTGGGT